CAGTGCATACAGTAAAGGGGCATCAGGGACTTTCTCTGCCTGAGGTCTTGTCTCTGCCTGAGGTCTTGCGCATCAGGGACTCTGCCAGAGGTCTTGTCTCTGCCTGAGGTCTTGTCTCTGCCTGAGACGCTCTCTGCACCCGAGGTGACCAGTGAGGCAGGTTGGCTCTCTGCCTGAGATACTCTCTGCACCCGAGGTGACCAGTGAGGCAGGTTGGAGGGCTGGGAACAAATGCCTATGCCAGGAGCACTACCCATGGGCGTTGGGGACGAATGCTCCAGCGTCCTCACCAGCAGCTGGGGTAACTCTGCGGTGTGCTCTGTACTGTCTCCTAGAGCTCCCCAGCGCAGGTCACCTGCTCAATAACATGCCCTGTTTTGACTTCTCCCATCTTCTGTTAGTGCTCCCTGGTCTCACCTCCCTAGTAAGGGGAACCCAAGCCAAGTTACTTCCTTTCACGAAGCAAGAGCAGAGCCCTCTGTGTGAACAGAGACTCACGGGCTGTAGAGTTGCTTTCCCCGGGCAGGAAATCCCACTTCTAAGCAGCAAGTTCGAAACTGAACAGACTGGAGGGACGAGCCTGAGGCTGGACACTACCAGGTTCCTGGGAGGGACATGGCACCTCTTCCCTGCACCTTGGGCTTTATAAGTCCAGGGGGAGGTCAGAGAGATTGAAGGGAGCGTGAGAGCTATGGGCAGGGGTTTGTGCTCCTGACATGCCCACCAGAGTTGAACAGGACAGGGACAGCAAGGCAGAGAAGGGTCTGGGTCTGCAGCTCTGAGATGGCCCAGGAGGAAAGTGTCCTGGGGGTAGGGGAGGTAAGGACAGCAGGAAGGGGACAGCAGGCTAGGGGTGAGCAAGCTGACATCAGTCTGAGGTCCCAAACCTCAGCTGTACAGAATCCCAGCTGGGAGATGGGCTGACTCTTAGCTGCCTCCTGACAAGCGGCTTGTCTAAAGTCTGTGCCTGCTTTTCGGGGTGAACAAAGCATGGTTTTTCCTCTCCAGCAAGGGCAAGGGGACAAAGGCATGTGGACCAATAAACTCTGGGACCTCTAAGCTGTGGCATCCACGCTTGTCACTAGCTCCACCCCAACCATAGGGGCCCCAAGAACCACCCAGCCCACCTCAGCCTCAGAGCCTCACCCAGGCCCCCGCTGCTCCCATGCTTGTCTCCCACCCTGGTTCTTCACTTCCTGCCGTATCATGAACTCATTCCCAACAGGCCGTTCCCCCACCACTCTGCTCAGATCCTTCTTGTCAGGGTCAACGACAGCCTCATGTGGCTAAAATCCAAGGTCAGTTCTCGGGCCTCGTCTTACTGTCTCCACAGCATTTAACATAGATCACTCCCTCCTCCTCCAACATTCTCCAGGTGGTTTCCAGGACACCGCACCTTCTTGGTTTCCCACCTTCATCCCGAGCCACACCTTCTCAGGCTCCCTGGCACTTCCTGTTCATCTCCCAGACCCTCTGCCTCCAGCTTTCCCTGTGCTCAGCACACACTTCCTCCATGTCCTCTACTCCCTTGAGCTCCAAACTCAACCACTGTCCACTCAGATGTTCAATGGCAACTCAAACGTGACATGCCCGGAACTGGATTCCTGGTCTTCCCATAGAAAACCTGCCCCTCTTGCAGCCACGTCACCCCAGTAAATGACAGCTGTGTCCTTGCAGTTCCTTGGGCCAAACACCTTGGGGTCATGACTCCCCTTTGTTTCCCAGACCATCCATCAGCAAACCCCGTGGGCTCTGGCATCGGAATCCACCCAGCACTCGAGCAGTTCCCATCACCTCCGCCATGCCCACCTTGGTCCCAGCCACCAGTATCTGGAGCCCGGATTAATGCAACAGCTTCCTTGTTGTCTCCTGGCTTCGCACTTTGACCCTGACCCCCTTCTCCACACCTTATCCTCAGTTTAGCAGCCAAAAGTGATTGTCTGCAAACTAAAAACAGATGGTGTCATTCTTCTGCTCAAACTCTCCAAAGACTTTTGGTGTCACTGAGGTAAAGGCAAAGTCCCTCCGTGACCCGACCTGGTGACTCACGACCATCTCCCACTGGGCCCCTCACTCCGTTGCTCCAGCCGTGCTCCTGCCTTGGCACTTGGCACTTGCTGTTTCCTGTGCCAGAATGTTCTACGTTCCCATGTCTGATCTTCCTTTAGGTCTTTGCTCAGATGTCACCTCCTCAGGAGGCCCCTCCGGATGCCCTGTTTTAACATCATAGAGGGGCTTTCTATCAGCACTTTTTACAACCCCCGCTCTGTTATTTCTCTCCAGGGCACTAGCATCACCAGACAGAGTTAACTTATTTATTATCTGTCCCACGAGTAGACTGGGAGGCACATTGCATGCTGTATTGGTCTTGTTCACCGGTCTACCCAGTGCCTACTTGAATCCAGGTCCTGGCACATAGTAAGTTTTGAATAAATACTAAATGAATGACACTCATTTCCCATGGCAGGGACTGTTATGACCCCCTCTTTGAGACACAGAGAGGTTAAGACACTTGCTTGATGTCACAGAGCCAGTAAGTGGAGAAAGCACAGTTGGAACTCTGGTGTGTTTGTCTCCAAAGTTTTGCTCTTGGAGGTGGCGTCACCTGGTGGCTAAGAGTCTGGCTCTGGTGGCAGACAGACCCCGGTCTTCACCCCGATGCTCCCTCGGAAGTTACTTAACTTCCCTGAGCCTCAGTTCCCTCACCTGCAAAGCCAGGCAAGCAGAGTGGCTAAGAGGGTGACGTGAGCTGACCCACCCGAAGTGCTACGGTGCTGTTGCTCTGACCAGCATCGAAAGCGAGGGCCTCCACTCATATGCAAGGCACGGCTGCCACCCGTCTGAGCCATCTCTGATGCCCCTAATCCCCCCTCGATCCTCCCTCGCTGTTGTCAGAGCCTCGGACATGGGCGTTGACTGATATGTTAATTTCACTACAGTAGCAAAGTGATGGATTTCATGGGCCCATTAGATCTCTCGGGCCCTTTCAGCTGAGTGATCTATAGACCTAGGATCTAACAGACCCGCAGGGCTCTCAGACTCCAGCTCCTGCACAAGGGTGGCGGGGGGTGTGGGGGGTACTTCTTAGCAAGAGCATCCACCTCAAATCGTTTGGAACAAGACAGGCTACGATGATATAAGGAATAATCCCAAAGCTGCCATTGGAGGACAATGCCAGGTGCTCTCCGTGGACGTGTGACCACGCGTCCTCAGCAATTCTGCAAAGTGTCATGGTCCCCGTCTGAAGACGAGGAAACCGAGACCTAGAGTCGAAGGGACATGCTGGGAGCCACAAGGCAGGTCTTTGGTGGAGCTGGACTTGAACACGGGCCCGCTGGATCCTAGACTCCAGGCTTCCTCATTGTCCTAAGCGGCCTCTACTCACTAGTCACAGTCTCAGGAAAAGTCTTGACCAGCATTTGACCAATGAGATGAGGGACCCCCTGGGAGCCCCACCCAGACAAGTCACTTGGTAATTAACCTGAGTGCAGTGCATTTTGTCCCAGTTACACTCAGGAAGGACCCTCCCCTCCCATGAGAGGTGAGAAGAATAGTGATGAGTCTCCCTTTCATACAAAATGGGAAACTGAGGCCCAGAGGAGATGGGTTCATCTGAATGGAATGTCATTGGTCGAGCCCACGGCCATGGTTCTTCCAGACACAGCTCCCCCTCCCCCTTCTGTGGACCCACTGGGCCATTTTCTCTCCTGAAATAAGTCAACCTCTGCACACGTCTCCTTGTATAGACCACTCCCTCTGAGGCCCCGCCCCCTGAGGCCCCGCCTCCTTTCTCTGCACACATCCCCTCCTCCCCCAAGCCCTCACCTGCTGGCATTTATGCCTGCCCTGTCCCCTAATCGTGTACCCCTAGGGGCAGGGATGGCAGCTGCCTGGCTCACTTCCATGGCCCCAACAACGAACATGGTGCCTGAGTCCAGCAGGAGCTCAAGGGGTTTGCGAAAGACATGAATGAGTGAGTGACTCCTCCAGTGGGTGCAATCCCGCCAGGCGGTTAGGACCTGGCTGGAATGCCCTCTCCTTGGTGGCTCTTCCCGCTGGGTTCCTGGAGCATCACGTGGAGGTCCACTGAGCCAGGCTCTGCTCCTTTCCCCTGAAACCTGGTGCTGCTGCCATTGATAAGTGTGGAAGGGAGGAGAAAGAGATAGGTGGGTGATAGGTGGACAGACACACAGACAGATGACAGACAGAGAGATGGGCAGGTGGGAAAACTGAGGAAACACTGCCCTTTGGGGTGGTGGCTTTGAATTTTTTTTCCTCTTGTAGCCACTCTAGAAATTAAATGATGGAGACTGAGCCAGAAGTAAGAAGCCAGGGCCCCAGGCAGCCCCATCTGCCAACCACTGCAGCCCCCACCCCAAACACACACAGCCTGGGCTCTGCTCCCACCAAGCAGGGCTCGCCCCATCTGCCCTCAGATGCAGGGACCTCAGCCCCAGCCCCGCCTCGCACTGTTGCCCATAGCAACAGCTCCGGACCACATCTTCCACATGGTGAAGCCTTCAGCTTCCTTCGCACCTGCTCGGCAGAGCCAAGGCCTCCTGCTTCCAAACCATTACAGAGCACCCAGCCTTCTCTGCAAAAAACATTCAGAAAAGAAGCTCCCAAGAGCCCCTTATCGAGCAGAAGGGAACTGGAAACGGTCACCTCCGTGTCGTCCCATACAGTCAGCCCTTACCAACTCGAGCCACACCAGAAACGTGGCTAATGCGGCTGAGGAACGGAATTTTTCATTTAATTAATTTAATTGATCTGAATTTTAAAAATTAAATAGCCACATGTAGTCAATGGAAACTGCACTGGACAGTAGTTCTGGGGCCTGTTCTTGGGACGCGGTCTTCCTGGGGCCTGGC